AGCAGGAATTGAAGTCTGAGGTCAGCTCTGCTGTGCACTAAGGGCACTCCTGCCTGCTCGCCCTCTATTTGTCTTCTTATTTTTCCTCCTTTTAACCCATTAAGCCCAAGTTGACCATAAAAGAAGTACTGGAAAAGCATGGGGACCTAGTGAAAGCTTCATCCCCCAGACCTGACTTGTCTTAGCCTCTCTACTGCCCAGTAGCTCAGCACATTAGACCATTGGTGTGGTCCAGAGGAAGCTGGAAAAGAAAATGCTAAACTTAATAGCCGAAAAACAGGCTACAGATTTGAGTGTGTGTGTGTAAATTCATATAGAGGAGCACAAAAGACATGGATGAGGGATTCTCTGTGGCAGTGGGTGCAAGCGGTGAAGCTCCCATTCAGCTCTTCCCTTTTGGATGGAAGGCAGGAGTTGACAGATGCAAGGCAGAAAGCCACATGCAGTGGAGACAGAGGAGGAAGAGACTTGCAGGTCCTTAGCACACAGGAGGATAAAATGGAGTGGGAGAATGTGAGAAGACCAGTGGAGGATATTTCTGTGGAACAGAAGACTTACTTAGGCAGAGTGGGATGTGCTCCAGTGCAAGGTAATGAATCTGTGGCTGTGCATCCCTGCTGGTTTGGGGAGTTCTGGAAGAGAGCAGGTCAGAGTGGGTTGAAAAGGAGTGACGTTCTCCATAAAGAATGACGTGGGCTTTTGCTTTATTTATTAAACTGCCTTTATCTCAACCCACGAGCTTTCTTTTACCCTTTGGATCCTCTCCTCATCCCACTGGGGGGAAGTGAGCGAGTGGCTGTGGGGTTTATTTGTCAGCTGGGGTTAAAGCACAACAGCCCTTTCTGATGCCAAATGTGGTGCATGAAGCGCTTGAGATAATGACAGATTTGATTGGAATGTGCTAGATAGAATTTATAGCTATTATTGCTGTTCAGCTATTAATTGATGGGCTCTGATGCTTGCCATGGGGCTTGCTTGCCTTACTGCGTGTGAATCTAGCACTTGTACTGGCTGTGCTTTGTTTCTGCTGCTGTCGTGGTGCCTATCATGTTACTCTGCTGTGGCTGGGAGCACTGATAACAGCCATGGCTGTGTGCCTGGGCTGGCACATGCCCAGGGCATCGCTGCTGAACTCGAGTGTGAACTGCGGTTCACGCTGTGGTGTGAACTCAAGTCAAAGGGTCTGTGACCTGTGGATGAGGCACCCCAAAGAGTCTGTGGCCGTGGTTATGTCCACGCCACAGCAGGTATACCTCTGCAGGGATTGGAGCCCAAGGATGAGTCCACGCTCATGGAGAAGATACACCTGGAAGCATCTGTGGCTGTGGATAAGTTCATGCTGCAAGCAGGTACACCCTGAAGCATCAGTGGCTGTGCATGGTCATGCTGGAGCACCTTGAAGTCCACAGTGCTGTCAGTACCCGTGAAGGGACAGTGGCTGTGGGTAAGGCCGTGCTGGAGCAAGTGTATCTCTGAAGGCATTGTGGCCCATGGATAAAGCCATCTGGGAACAGGGGCACCTCAAAGCAAATCTGCCTGTGGGGAAGTCTGTGCCGCAGAAAAGAGACTGTGGCTCATAGATGAGGCTCTGCTTGGAGCAGGTCCACCCTTAAGGGACTGCAGTCTACGGATAAGTCCAAGCTGGAACAGGGGTTCATTGAATGTTAAACCCCATGGTCTGGTCCAAAGGGACCAGGGGTGGAGATGGTAATACCTTTAAATTGTTGTAACCCATGTTTGAATTGCATGTGACAGGAACTCCTATAGCAGAAACCACCCGAACCAATGGAGGCCAAGCCTTACAAGAAGCAGGGCAAGTGCAGCAGTGACCCAAGCTGAGCTGGTTTTGGTGCCCAGTGACTCCACATGGGCTCTAAGCACCTGGGAAGTATTGACTGAATTCCTTACTTTGCTTTGCTTCCACTTGTGGCTTTTGCTTTACCTGTTAAACTGCCTCAACCTGCAAGTTTTCTTACTTTTACCCTTCCAGTTTCTCTTCTCTATCCCACTTTGGGGAGGGAGTGAACAGGCAGCTGTGTGGGGCTTAGCTGCTGGCCCAGGTTAAACCATGATGCCACTGATACATTCCTGTGCTTGCACCCTCCCATTTTAGGTGGAGTGAGAAGTGTTGCCTGAAAACAGAGGTTCTAATGTGCCAACAGGAACCGGTGCTGCTCAGGGCTCAGAAGATGGAAGGCTTGTCCTGCAGCAAGAAACACACTGCTAAGCTGTGCGGTAGAAGCTGAAAGCAAAGCTGGTGAGGTCCACAAAGGAGAAGGCTGGACTGACGGGGATGGATACAGAGATGCACTTTGGGGTGCTGAGGGAGGCACGGGTTTCCTGCAGGGGCCCAGAGAGAGAAGCTGTGAAGAGGTGAGGGTTGAGGGTTGGCTGGTTGCCAGTCACTGTCATCCCTAAGACTGGGGGGACAGGGCAGGAGCCAGCATGGGCTCTTGGCTTTCGCCCTCTTGCCCACAGTGCTATGGGTATGACCATTAATAAACCCCCAGTTTCTTCACTTATGCTCTAGGTCATCATTCTGGGGCAGGGGTTTGTCCTCACCCTCCTCTGGTCCTGCAGGACTGGCATCGCTCTTCTGCTCCCCACTGCTGGCTGCTGGAGTTCCAGTGGTGCTGAGGTTCAGGATTTGGGCCCTTTCACTTGGGTAGCAGCCTTGACTCCATAGGTCTGACCAGCCCACGCAGCAGCTAAACTGGGTCCCTGCCTGTGTTTTCCTCTTGCGTGCGTCTGTTTGTTTGTTAAATAATGTAGCAACACAAGGTTCCTTGGGCTAAATTTATCTTCCTGTGTAGTTATGGGAACAGTGGTTGGTACAGTGACGCTGGGGCTTGCAGTCAGATCTGCTGCAAGGCTCCGAGCCCAGCCTGAATCAGAGAATGAATCACAGAACGGTTTGGGTTGGAAGGAACCTTAAAGCTCACCCAGTTCCAACCCCCTGCCACGGGCAGGGACACCTTCCACTAGAGCAGGTTGTTCCAAGCCCCATCCAACCTGGCTTCTTTCAACAGATGCTGTCCTGCATGGGACCTTTGCCTTTAAACTTTCTTTTTAGGCTCATTTTCTTAGGCTCCTCTTTAGGCAGCAGCATGACCAGCCTTTTAACCTGGGAAATGAGGATGACAGGGTGCTTGGGGGAAGACGTGAGGTTTGGAAGCGGACTGAGATGACGCATGGGAACGACTGCATTTGGATCAGAAGATGCTGCAGCTCTGTCCTGCATCCAGCACGAGTTCATGGGAAGAAACTAAGGGCAAATGCATGTAGTTCAATATTGTTTAAGCCTCTACTTGTGTCCAGCTCAGAAGCTTCCTGAATCAAACATGGTTTCTTGCAGGTATAAAATGACTGGCTTAAAGCAGCTGAGGAGAACCCCCACTTATGCATTCACTCTCCTTCCTGAAGCACGTTGTCTTGCCTGGATGGTGGGTATGGAGGAGAGGATGTACTGGTGGTTCCTTTAACTCAAACCTTCATTTAGCCACAAGACCATGCGATAGAAATGAGTGGCTCAGGTGGTATCACCAAGCGTGTGTTGTGTGTGTTGCCTGGAAGTCTGAGTTGAGCAATACAGCTCTGTGGACAGAGCGTGCCGCATCCTGCACACTGAGGACTTTGCCACGTCCTTTCCCCCATGGCTGGGCTTATTACCACACAAGTTACTTTCACCATTGCTAGGGGAGATAGTGTCTATACAACTGTGTGTTTTCTGATGTCCCTGTGGCTGCTGCTCCCTGTTTCCTGTCTGGTTGAATCCTGCTCCAGTTTCAGCTCATGGTCCTAGTTCTGTGACCTCTCTTGACACTCTCAGACTGTGCTGTTTACTGTGTGTTCAGGCCGGTACTATGGGTAGTAACACTTGAGCTTGAAGGCAGCTCCCTTATCTCCCTCCATTCAGGGTTTGCAGGTAGCATTTCTTACTCCCATTCATGTTTGGCTTTGTGCTGTTGAATTCTCACCCACTGGGCCTCAAACCTCAGGACTATGCCCTTAATTTTCACATTTAGTTTTTAATAGAGCTGTTGAGGAGATTGAATTTGCACCAGAATGTCACAATGAGGCAACGTTTTCCTTTCCTTCATTATTTGGGAAGCTTGCATTAGTTTTTAAGGCTGCATGAAATATAGTTTCTGAGGTGTTCTTGGGGAGCTGTCATGCTTCTCATCATGTAGGAGATTTTATCCCAAAAGCCAGTCATCCTTTGAAGCATCCACCCTGGGTAGAGGAAGAGACAGACCTTTATTTTCTTCTCCAAAGCTGCTTCTAAAGCAGGAAATGTCCACACCTCCTTCAGGCTTGATCTCAATGTTCTTCACAGCACATATGTGTTGAGTTAGTAATCTTAGCTGCTGCTGCTGCTCCTCTTTGCATCTTGTTTATTCCATCCCATTATAACTTGCTCTGAACTTCATCCCTAATACTACTTGACCCTATTTGTTTTAGCAGGTTATTCACAGACATCCCCAATGTTTGCCACGTCACGGAGCCCTCAGGCCAGACCCCGTCTCCATGAGGGAGCGGTGGCACCACTCACACAACTCGGAGCTCCTCCTGGTTAATTCCTGCCACCTGAGGAAGGGAGAACGTGTTTGCATGATGTACAAGAAGCAGGCGTTAGTGATAGGAATGGGCTTTGGTGAATGAGGAGGCGGTGAGCAAAGGGCAGCTTTGATGCAAGCATCAGTCGGCAGAGATCTGTGAGCCTGTGGAAGCTTGTGAACAGTTCATACTCTCACCTCTGTGTCTTGCATTACCAACAAGGCAAAATACGTGCTCTTTAGAGCAGTACCTGGGTCTTCTGATGTTTCTTGAGCTGATTTGGTTTTCTCAGTGTAAAGAAATAACACACAAAGTGGAGCATTTCCTAAATGGATGTAACTTGACAAACAGTGCAGGTATTAATTTTCCTTCAATAAGCTGGTATCAAAGTACCTGGGTTTGAAACTTGGCACTTCTTTCCTGCATCTTTCAGAGCTTGCTTAACAGTGCCCATGCCAGAAGATTGATGCCATAGTAGTCGGGGGGGGATTAAGCTGTGTAGTGAACATAAATACTTATTGCAGGTGGGGAGGTCAGAAAAGCATCTCAAAGATAAGGCAGTTTAGCAAAGCTTTCTCTTCCTCTCGTGCCCTCCCTGTCAGTGCTGTGCTGGGGCTGTAGCTGTAGAAACCCAGCCTGCCCTGCCCTTGCTTCCCAGCACTGTGCAGGAGCAGGCAGGCGGTGTGAGGAGTCGGGGAAGAGCAGTGCCACCTTTCCTCCTGCACTCACGCTGCCGTGGGTAGTGCTGCTCTCTTCATCCCACCGGTGAGCTGGGAGCTTTAGTGCTGTATTTTGTGGGCAGACTCCCTCTGCTTTGCAAAGATCTCCCATCGGACAGGGCAGCTGTGCTGAGGATAAACTTGTCTCTTTGTGTAAGTCCTGGCTGCCCTTACAGTGTGTTTTGCCCTGGTTATTAATTCTTTTCCCCCTGAGGTTTTTACTCAACCACAAGTACTGAAGGTGGGTGGTTTAACTGCATCTGCCTGTGACCTGTAAAACTTACTCACTTTCAACTGCAGATTTACTAGCCAGAAATCAGCCCATGGGGCTGATGTGGGATGCTGGTCACCCCAGCGCATCTGGAGAAGGGATGCTTTGGGAAGGAGGCCGTAACTCACAGCAAGACCCTTGTCTGTGAGCAAGCCCTGGGATGTCAGCTACAGGGACAGGTCTCCTGTGGGCTGGGAAAAGCAGAAGGCATGCTTCCAGTGAGGAAGCATTCAGTCATGGCTGGTGTCAGAGGTTAATTGTCCCCTTGCCTTCCCATGCTCTACAAGATGTGGTGCCTGGCCTCCATGCAGCCAGGGAAAAATCCAAAGGCAAAGAGCAGCACCCTTGCTCCTGAGAGAGTACTGGAATAACTCAAAGGGCACAGCAGCAGCATCATGGTCATGGAGCCAGCAATGGCTACAGGCTGTCCTGAGCTCCGAGCTGCCTGCAGACTCCCTGGATTTCACTATGCCTCGGAAAACACTGAAGGCTGGAATTGCTCTCACCTGCCACAAAAGGAAAGGGCTAAAATTCGGGTAATAAAAATGCATCTGTTGGAGAAATCCTGAGAGCACCTGCCAGGTATAGCCAGTGGTGTGGGACTTCGGTCCAGCGACCCGAGGAACCCGGAGACACAGCTTTTCTAGGAAAGTGAGGTCAAGGCAATCACGCTGTTTGTGACGTGGGACTTGTCCTGCTCTGAGCCTTTTTTAGCAGGCTGGACACCCCAGAAATAGAGGGTGATGTGAGTTCTGTGAACAAAGGCACCTGCCTCGAGGAGAGATTAGATCTCGGTGTGGGAAAAGCTTCATCAAAGCACAGCCTTCCCCTGCAATCCTGAGCGGAGAGAAGGGGCGAGCCCAGAGCCCGTGAAGCCTTCCCAGTTTCTCTGCTTACAGGGTGACTTGTTGCTTCTTCCAGGCTCCTGGCACACAGCAGAGAGCTTGGAGGGGCTGTGGGTATGAGTGTATTCTAGGCGAGCAGTTGCCAAAACGTGTAGTGCCCTCAAGTGTACCCTGAGGATGGAGACCACGGGCTGGCAGACCCGATTCCTTGGGATGACTCCATGGACTGGCTAATGTGGCTGCAGCTCAGTTTGTCCATGTGAAGGTGTTTGGGATCCTCTGGTCTTCATCTGTTCTATACAGCACGGTGCTGTTTAACCACCAATTGGCAGTGGAGCTGCTGAGGGTGCGGGACAATTTATCTTCAATGCTCTAGGCCAGTTCTCCAGGGCTAGAGATAGAGTCTGTTTTCACCAGTATTTCTGTAAAATTCCTGGAATTTATGTTTACACCACTATAAAAGCGTGTCTTGCTGATAAAGCTTATTTTGCTTGCTGAATCAGTGTAGGTTCTACTGATAAAGCCTGCTCTCACTGCTACAGATTGCATGTGTGCTAGTTTGCTGAGATGGCTAACCTGGAGCTCCTCTAGCATAGATTAGACTCAAACTACAGAGAAATCCAGCTGTGATGTTAATGTGATGCCTGGAACCTCTGTGTCCTCTTCACATATATCACCATTTCCAAGACAAATACTTTTTCTAACTCTCCTGATAGATTCCCAAGCTGTTGCTCAAACCAGCCAGGAAGGTGTTTTCTAGCACTCTCATCTGGTGAACCAAAAAGTCTCTGCCCGATGCAGTGCCAGTGGGTTCATTCTGCCTCATTTCCCTCGTCTTTCTTTAATGACCAAAAGACCCTTTAAAGCGCCTTTAAGCAGGTCTCTTCCAGGAGGCTATGGCAAGCAATGAGTTTGTGCAGAGGCTTTTCCTACAATTGAAGCAGTTTTCCAACTCCTACTACTGGTTTCTCACTACTCCTCACCTCTGTTGCAATGTGTCCCATTAAAACCAGAAGAGCCAGGCACTGTCTCATGGCAATGTCCAGTCTGTGTGACTCCAGATGGGCCATCCCCAAGGCTTTGGGAGGGCAGGAAGCCTTTGGAGGTAAAATGTGAGTGCAAGTGGCCTGAATTGAAACCGTGAGCCTGTTTCCTGGGCTAGAGCATGGTCACCAGCAGAGACATCAGGTGAGGCCTGGGGCATGGCTGGGATGGGGAATGCATCTCCCGTTCCCACCAGCACTGTCCATGACTGTTGCTTAGCTCAGCCTGGGATTTGCAGTGCCTGGTAGCAGCCCCTCTCTACGGAGCACATCCTCTGCTGCTCCTGAAACGGCTGCTGTAACGTCACGGGTAGGAAGAGTTTGTTCTCTTCCACACCAGCCCTGGCTTGCCGAGGGGCCGGGAGGCTCTGGCGCAGGAGGAGGCTGGGAGCGTGCTGTGGATGGGAGGAGGTTGGAGGAATGTGGAAGCCCTTCCAAGAGCCTCAGCCCATCAGGAACTTGGCCCGAATTTTCTTCTCCCTCCTGCCTCTCCTATCTGAGCCCTTCCTGGGGGCTGTGGGCAGAGACAGGCTCTCCCGGCACCCAGCCTGATACTCCCCTGCAGGGACTGTTTGTTGCTGCTTCAGGTGAGCTGTGCTGGGCAGGCACAAGAGGCAGGTCAGGGATGCCAGAAGCAGCTAAACTCTGCTTGCCAGGAGCACTCCAGGGAGAAGATAAGGGCATGTTCGTATTTTATTGCCCCCCTTTCTTCATCTGAGGCACCATCCAGAGCAAGAGAGAGGAAGGGCTCATTTCCTCATGATGAGGGAGGAGTGACTGCAGCCTGACCCTCCAGCGAGGGGCTGCAAGGCTCCCTGCACCATCGTGCTGCCCTGCGAGGTGAGGGGGGCTCAGCATTCCCCACCCAGCCTCTGGCTGCCCATTCCCCTGCATCCTGCTCCTGTCCTGAGCTTTCCTGCAGGAAAACCTGGAGCACCCCCAGCTTTTCCCGCTGAGCTAGTGAGGGACGAGAGGTGATGAGGAGCTGGCTCTGTACACACTGGCTGTCATGGCTTCATTGCTCGCTTCCCGGGCTCCTGCCCTCTCTGGCCTTGGGCTGGCCCACATCCAGCCTGCCCTTGAGGACCCGGCTTATCAATAACTGGGAACGTGGCTATTGCCCAAGGCAGAGATAACCACCACCACCACACTGGTGCACCCAGTGTCCTTCCCTTCCCCACCCTCTGCTGCTGCATCTTTGGATGCGTTCAAGGTAAAGCTGGAGAGGGGAATGTTTCCCCTCCCTGAGCTCAGCCATGCTTAATGCAGGGGCTCCCCTTGGCAGGGCTGGAAGCCCGGGAGGCTGTGGGAAGGTTCATCCCCATCATAGTCTGATGTGCATCAGCTCTTCTCTGGCTGAAGCTGGTGTGCTGCACCCATGAAACAGGCGTCTGGTGTTACACAGGGACATCAGAGGCCCCTTTCCCTGTGCTTGTCTGTCCAAACCGTGGGTGTTTCTGTACCCAAGCACCTCACTCTGCCTCTCCTTGCCTGAACCCTACAAGGTTATAGGGGGGGATGCCATGCAAAAGCTGACTCCTCTAAACCCACACGTCTTCCCTTCCGCTGCTTGAATTAAAGTGTTAACAAACCCAGCAGCAATCAAACTCTGACCCGAGCATCTCAAATGCCCCTTTGTTTAATTAGCAGAGCCCCTGCCCTCGGACACAGGCAGTGCTGTGCGGCCCCGCAGCCTGGGGTGGGAGGCGAGGGATGGGGACCTGGCGCCCAGGAATTCCTCCTCTTCGGAGGCATGACCTCTTGTACCAACTATTTTCTCGCCTCCTCTCTGTGTCAGCTGTGCAGAAACAACACATTGATGGCTGAAGGACTTAAGTGAACTTGCAGTATCTCCTGGGGGGCTGCAGCCCCTTTGCTTGCCTTCCATCCTCTGCATGCAGGGTGTCTCTTCCCCAGGGCAGCAATAAGCGACTTTGCTGTGCCACGTAAAGGGGGTGACTGGCCTTTGCCTTGAAATCCACCCTGGTTCCCTCTGGTGCATGGGGATGGGCCCCTGTGTGGCCCCTTGCTTGGTGAGGAGGGGAGAAAGCAGGATGTGACATAATCTGGAGCGGGTTAACCCCTCAGCAATGATGATTTCAGTGGTGCAAGGGTAACAGTGGTGATGTCTGAGCGGGGAACGTGGTCTCCCGCCCTCTGTGACCTAATCTAAATTACTTTATGAGGGGCCAGCGGGTAGACCAAAACCTTCTGCTGCCTGGGAAGCAGGGAGCCAGGGCAAGGGGGTCCCCGAGCAGCCCTGTGATGTGGTGTGGCAGCACAGGGTTGTGTGGAGCAGTCTTGGCCTCTGTCTGCCCATGCCTTGTGCCTTAGCAGTGTCTCACTTTTCCCCTCCAGAACAGCCCCTTGCAAGGACCCCCAGGTTCAGGACCTGCCTGCGAGACCCATTTGCACTGTGCTGAGGTGCTCAGCCTCTGTCCTGGCCAGCGGCTGCCTTGGACTATGTTGTCTCCTTGGTGCCAGTGCTCACAGCATCGTGGGATGAAGATGTGGTGATGCCACAATGATACCTGCACCCTCAGAAGCAGCAGGGCTGGCGGCGGGCACTGCCTGCTATGAGCCCCAGAAGAGCTGCGCTTGCCCCTATTGTCACCCTCACAGTGATGGCAACCTCCCAGCATGATGCCCAGGTACAAACCATGCAGGTGAGTAACCCCCCCCCACCCCAACAGCATTCCCATCTGCCTGGGCTCCTGGGTGGCAAAGCCATGGGATTGGGGGGTGACACCACAGACCAGAGCAAGGGGTCCCCTCTACACTATAGGATGTGGCCCCCATCAGCACCCACCCTGCGGGGGGAGCTGCCAGGGCCGCTCGGTGCTGCAGGAAAGCTTAGCCACAGCCTGGCTAGAAACACACATTTATTGCGACATTAGTTTGCAACCAGCACTCAACCCCTACAGCAGCGACTCCGGAGCCATGCACACACCTTGGCCCCGCTCTGATGCCTCTGCAGCCCATGTGCTGGTCCCTGGGGGCACAAGTCCACCCATCCCCATCCAGGCAGGCTCACTGGGGCTGCGGGCTGGGGTCCTGCTGTGCCAGGGTCTGCCTGTGGGCTGGCAGCATGGAAGGGGGAACAGAAGCTGGATTCAGGGTCCTTCACCAATGTAAGCCACCAGCAAGGAGCGAGGAGCAGCCACAAGGCTCTCGGGATCGCTGGGGTCACACCCCACAAGCACTGGAGATGCTGCTGTATCCTCTCCTCTTACCACGCTCCCTTGGTGCCAGCCAGGATGCTTTGAAGAGCCGGGAGAGGTGCCAGCTCGGTTCCCCCCTGCAGCCGCCACTACAC